ATACGTTCATTTGTTTTAGAGTTACACCAATAACCAAAATCGATTTTTTGGAAAACCAATTTTGCGTAAAAATTCCCGTTTTTCCTTAATTTTTATGTTGTTTTTCCCGGCGCTTGTGAAAACTACTGGGAAATGTTTACTTTTGAGTACCAACTAGATTCACTTTCCTATCAGAAAAGGTACTGTTGAAGAAAATCGAAGCACTTTTACTGTCCTAAAACGTGATGACAGACACAAAAATATAAAAATATAAATAAAAGTATAAATAAAAATATAAAAACATACATCATTGTAAAACCAATACATTCATCGCTCCGCTCAGAATCTAAAATTGAAAAATGAAAATGTCCGTAAACAGCTCAAAAGAGCCAGAAAAAATAAAAAATAAAATAAGGAAAAACTGTAATTTTTACGAAAAATCGATTTTGGGTGTCGGTGTAAGACTAAAAAAATTATCGTAGTTCCATGCAATATTCACTGACTGTTTATATTGACATTTTCTATACTCTATACAATTTTCAAAATAATTCAAATATTTTAAAAGTATTTTCAATTTTCAATTTTTTTCGTTTTTTTTTTTTCTATAAATGTCAATAAAATTGTATTTTTGTGTGAATAAGCTTCAATGTACTCCTAATATATTGCTACAATGGCACTTAAAAAATAATAAGAATACATAATCACAATTTTTTTATAAGCTTTTAAAGTTCAAATTTTGACAAAATACGTAGAATCACAGCTATAAAAGTTAAACATTTTATAAATTTTTAACAACTAAAGAATTTGTAAATTTTCAATTAAACAAATTTTGTCAAAATTTGAACTTTAAATGGTTATAAAAAAAAATCGTGCCTATGTATTTTATTGACGTTTATAGAATAAAAAACTAAAAAAACGGAAAATTTCAAAGTCTATAAATAACTTAAAAATTGTTGAAATATTTTGAAAATTATATCAAGTATAAGAATTGATGAAATATATATTTGGTGTAAATTTCAAGTTTCTACAATTATTTGTTTATATATAACAACAAAATAAGAATAATAAATATCTAATATTTTAATTGAAATGCTCATAAAAGTTTAATTTGACTTTTCGGTAGAAATTTTTTATTTGATAAAAGTAGACAAACTCATGAAGAATTTAGTATAGAATTTTCAAACCTTAGATTTAAAAAGAAGAATTTTTATGAATTTCTAACTCAAAATAAATTTCAAATTTCCTTGATTTTTACGTATTTTGTCAAAATTCGAACTTTCAATACTTATTAAAAAAAATTATGACTATGTATTTTTAATATTTTTTAACTACTATTGTGACAATATATTAGAAGTCTTGTATCAAATTTTGAAGCTTTTTTACCCAACGAATAAAATTTTATTTTCTTTTATAAAAAAAAAACACACAACATAGTAAAATCAATACATTCTTCGCTCCGCCATTGGCGCAAAATGGGGGGGAGGCTTGGGGGGACTTAGTCCCCCAAGATTTCGGTCAAGTCCCCCCAGTTCAAAATCTAGTAATTAGTACTTATTATTATATTCTGTAGTACTAAACATGTATATATTTTAAAAACTTAACCAAATTACAAAATACAATTATTGAAAAAAAATTATTATTATGCTAGTTTTTTTTTAAAATCTTTATAAAAAATACTATAACATATCTTAGTCCGTGCCTCGTGGTCAAACTGATACAGGGGCGCCCGCAGAGAGGGGCCAGTAGGTGCCATTGCACCCACTGGGATTTTTTTAATCAACCAAAAAATTATTGTATTATAATGTAAATTATGTGAGTACATAAGTATGTATAACATAAATTTAATTTTGCAACCACTGAGCTGATTTTCTGCGGGCGCCCCTGAACTGATAATTGATAACCGATAACTGATAAGTAATTTATATTTGCTAAACTATGAGGGCTGTGTCACGATCACGGCTATAGTATCTATAGCCAAAGAATAATGCCGTGGTTGCTGTTGAAATCCACAATCGACGGTTTACGCGCCAATTTTTGAACGGAGCATTTTGTTATCATTAATAATTATTATTTGTTATCACGGTCCACGGACTAAGATATATGTTTATTACTTACTTGTTAGGTTATATTTTAATATTTATTGGAATAAGGGATAATAATATAAATACAGAAGATATTTTAAATGTATTTGCCGAAAAAGAACGGAGAATTTTGTTAAAATAAATATATTCTAAAAATGTAATACTTTGTATTTTTATATATCCGTAACGATAGTTGCTCAGTGGGTGGGGGATTTTATGGAGAGCATTTCCCTCCAACATTTGTTTTACTTATATTAAGACCTTTGTGGAGGGGGGGTGGGGGGGGCTTGAGTCCCCCCAAAAAATTTAGTCAATTTGCGCCTATGGCCTCCGCTCAGAATCTAAAAATGAATTAACTAATATTATTAGAGCATGTTCATCATCTCAGGAGTTATATCAATATATAATTACTCAAATATAAAATCCAAATACAAATATCAGCATATATTTTGAATTAATATTTAGAATTTTCGGTATGATTATAATATCATCCAATAGTTAATTAATACAATAGATTTGTAATATATTTTATACTTACTTTTTTAAATCTATTTAGGGAGTTAATATTTCCTTTGTTCCTCTTTTTTTTGGATAAAAGAGTTTTAGTTTTTTTTCCATAACGCCAGTCTTTTTTACTGTCCATAGTATCGAAGATATCAAATATTTATTCCACAAAAAAAATCTCTCACTAAGGACTGCAAATTAGTTTCAAAAAACAGCAGACGGCTGACTTATCGAAATTCGAAATTCGAAAATCAAAATTAGAATATTACTTTTACTCCGAGTAGAATAATAAGTACCAACGACCGGTGGCGGACCGGAACAGTTGAGCCAGTTGATAATTTATTAATTATTATTATATTGTGCCCACCGCCGCCGGCGCACGTTTTCTTATCTTACATAATATTCCAGGAATATGATGGCAGTTTATTTTCAATTAGTACCTATCGCCAAATTCGCCGAGCCGATACATTTCCGCACTCGCAGGCACATGTCAATGCTATAGATTTTGTCAAATAAACACCACACTATTTAAATGACAAAAATGCCAAAAAGCTAGACAAAATTGTGGGAGTTGGATTAGTCGGATTTTTATTTTGAAAATGGATATTAATTAGTCATTATGTTAGTTAGGGAATGGTCGAGGGGATTTTCTTTATAAAAATTATTCGATAAAATATTGACAATTTAAAAAAATAAGAATTTTTGTATTTTATATATTTAAGTACACCATTATTTTTTGTAATAATGATAAATTTCCACGGCCATGCTTTAGAAGAGTTGTTGAAGATTTTAAATTGGTTTTAAAAATTAAAATCCGTCAAACCCAAGTCCCTCAGTTTTGTCTAGCTTTTGGCCTGTTTTACGTGATAATTTGTACCTGCTCCAGCCCCCTTAATCAAAATGACTAACAATATTTTTATTTGTATTTAAATTTTATAATATAATATGTAACATTATTGTATCAAACTATTCATGTGTAATACTCTAGTCGAGTAATTTAAAAAAAATTGTAACTAAATATTATCATGTAAATTGTCATGGTAAGACAATGAATTATTTATCTGTAAACTTATGAATTGTGTAACTTATGTGAACCAATTTTAACTTTTATCTATGTAAAATTTTAAAGCTTTTTGTAGCCCTACAAAAACCTTTGAAAGGGCGGTGAGGTGTAGCGAGCTGTGACTATTTCTTAAATAACTATTTAACAATATAAATCTGATTCTAATATTATGTACGTAATCATATAGTCATATATTATCATATATAATACACACGCCGCGTAAATATAATAATAATTATAGGTTCGGTTATCTGTTCGTCTTTCGAGTCTCGTAGTAGTAGAACGTACTCGTAGTCTCGTCAAATGTAAAGTCATATTTCTTTAAAATTTAAAAAACGGGATTAATATTCCCTATTAGCAGTTTTTCATCAATCAATATGAGTGGAAAACGCATTAAGTTAAGTGGTGCTGAATTTCGCAAAAGAGCTGAGGAAAAAAATAAAAAAGATAAACTGATAATAATTTCTAAGACGCCTAAAATTCAAAGTTTATTCAAAAAGGTAAGAACTTACGTATTTAATAATATTATATAGTAGTGTTTACTTACTTATTTATTAAAGAATAATGAAGAATATAAAATATGAATAGTCGCGATTAATATTTATGCTAAGGTTTTTAAAACGAATTTATAATTAATTTTAAATACTTCAGACTACGATTGTATTTTATTAGATTACATTTTTCTTTTGACTATTTTCTATAAATGGTGGATCAGCATTATTTAACATAATATTATGCAATAATTTGTATTAACTGTTGTATACTTGTATCCAATTATCTAAATCCAATGTTTTAAAGTTTTTTTTTTTTTATTGTATGCTACAATAACTTTATTATTACTTTGATTATTTAAAATTTTTTTAAATTTTGACATTTATCAAATATTGTTGTTAAATAGTTTGCTAAACTGCAGAATGTAAGTTTTTATTTGTTTTTTTTTCGGTTTTGATTTGTCGATAAATTTATTCAATCATATCTACATATTGTAAGAATGAAGTTTTATGTTTTTATTTTACAGAATAAAATATTTTGTATTTTTTGATAACCTAACGGCCCCTTAGAGACCGTGCTCAAGGCCACAGTCACCCGATTTTGCCAATACACAGAGTGTCTATACCCTGGTTATAAGCATTGGTATTTGTATAATGTTTAATTATTAAACAATTTACATTTTAATAAATATTTTTGTGATTAGTAGTCAATAGTTATTTTATTAGGTACTTAAATAATTTAAATTTTTTTTGTTGGTACATTTGACTTATAAGACTATTGTGTTGTTGGTAACAAACAGTTGAATGTCCTACCTACCATTTATTATTTATTTCTAAAAATTGATTTGTTGTAGAAATACTTGTTTAAATCTATATTATACCATGAAGAAATCCGTCTCTCTCAGTAGTCGGACAAAGAGAAGAAAAATTAAAGAAGAGTTGGACTATTTCAATCCTCTTTCAAACACCTACAACCATCATATTATTCCTCAACAATTATTTTTGGAATCTAATCTACTTAATGAAATACCAATTTCTAACTCAAATTCACCCAACTGTCAGGATAATATTTCATTTACAACAGTAGATAGACTTCCAGAAGAATTAAATGAATCACAACATTTTGATTTCTTTAACTACAATATTGATTCTCTTCAGAGTTCGCTTCCTACAGACACATCTGACACTGATGATTCTAATAACTTATTATCTAGTGTTATGTCTTTTAGGATGCAGTTGGGTTAAGGTCGTTAAGGAATATAGATACACAAGTACATTTTAACTTTTTTATTGAAACACATGCTTACGAGTTACGACTTATAGTGACAAGACAACATACATCGTAACCTAACAATATAGATTTTCAGTGAAACAGTGTTGCCACATAACATTACCCCTTTTTTTTTTATACAGAACAAGATCCAAATTTACAAATTAAGAAGTAGGTATAAAGATAATAAATATAAACTACTATTCACTATAACATGATAAATAATAGTAGTAACTTTTTACTCAGTCTTGAGCATAACAAGGTGATGTAGAATAACTTTACTTATAACAAATTAACTAATTACCTTTTTTAAAACAATTAAACATAATTACTTATGCTTATTACAATATTTTTTTTTTTTTTTTTACATTTTACAACATTTCACAAAATTAATTAATGCCTAAGGTTGATACCTATCAGGTGCCTTACGCTCTCTCTCTGGATATCGGCGTGTTGTCAACTCTGTACCCAATGTATCATTAATGTTTGTTGTATTATTGGAATGTGAGCCCAAGTTACTGAAACTAAGATCTTCACAAACCGATAAAGACTTAGGTGAATGGAGATGATCAGCTAAATAACTCTTTCTCATTTGATTAAGATGCACTTTCCTTATTTTTTCATTAACTTTAACCAAATAAACTACTGACCCAATTTTTTTTGTTACTCTACCCAACTCCCAAGTATAACCCTTTTTATTAATGAAGTTCTTCTTAATCAAGACTTTGTCATCAATACTAAATTCCCTGGTGACAGGTGTATTTAAATCTAACTGCACTTTACTCTTAGGAATTAACCAAGATAACTGGGTCCTAGGTCTAAATTTAAACATAAGTTCTGCTGGAGCAACCTGTGTAGTTGTACAAGGTGTATTACGGTAATTAGATAGGCACCCTAATAATTTATCCTTCATTGCTTCTTTCCCCGGTGGACACCCAGCCACAACATTCTTTAATAAGTATTTTTTTATGGTCTGAACACCATGGCCAACCATTATTTAAACAACCAACCACTTTTACTAGTATATCATCCAAGCAGGTTTCTTGTTCAATATTCTTAAACGTTAGTAACTTTTCTTCAAACGATGCTACCACCGACACCAAGCAACATTCATTATCAACTGATTCCTTAGACTCTAAAGGTAAACGTGAAAGACCATCAGCATTAGAATTGCATTCTCCTTTTTTAAAAACTATTTCATAATTGTAAGCAGCTAATATAATAGCCCAACGTTGCAGACGTGCAGCAGATAACTGTGGAATACTTTTAGACGGATTAAATATTTGTTTTAATGGCTCATGATCTGTCACTAACTTAAACGGACGGCCATAAATAAACTTATGAAATTTGCGGACACCAAAGATAATAGCTAACGCCTCCTTATCCAACTTACTATAACGCTTCTCAGTCTCAGATAAAGTGGTGCTTGCAAACATAATAGGATGTTCCCTACCATCTATGATATGGCTTAAGACTGCACCAATACCATAAGAACTACTATCTGTTGCTACAACCAAAGGTAAATTACTATTGTATAACACCAGACAAGACTTTTCAGCTATTAAATCTTTTGTCTTGATAAATGCTCTTTCACATTTTGAAGACCAATTCCACTCAGACTTTTTACGAGTAAGGCTTAATAACGGTTCCATTACATCAGATAGTGAGGATAACGACAAAAATTTATGATAATAATTTAATAGACCTAAATAAGATTTGAGTTGAGTCACATTTACTGGAACAGGTGCATTTTTAATAGCATCCACTTTCTCTGGATTAGGATACAAACCACTACAATTCAACCGATAACCAAGATAATCGATAGACTCTTTAAAAAAATGACACTTTTCTGCATCAATTTTAATATTATACTTTTCAAACCGACTTAAAACGCTTCCTAAGTGCCTTTTACATTCATCTAAATTTGCACCTCCAACCACCACATCATCTAAGTAAGCTGCAACTCGTGGAATACCTCTGACAACAGAATCCATAACTGACTGAAAAATTGGTGGTGCTGATTTTAACCCAAAACACAATCTATTAAAGCAATACAAACCAACATGAGTATTGACAGTCAATAAATGTTTACATGAATCAGCTACACTTAATTGTAAATATGCATTAGTAAGATCCAACACACAAAAATATTTACAACCTGATAGTGAATTAAAAATATCATCAATTTTAGGAAGGGGGTAATAGTCCATTTCCACATACCTATTTACTGTGACTTTCAAATCGACACATAACCGGATTTTACCATTCTTACGTGGAACACACACAATTGGAGATGCCCATTGACTATGTGACACTTTTGTGATGATACCTTGGCTTTCTAAATCGTTCAACTCTTTAATCTGTTATGGAACCGGGGTTCCAACACAAATAATTTAACGCACGATTAGATTAATATTAATTATATAGGTTTTATTACGGGTTTTAACATTAACTAGTTGTACATATAATATAAAAATGCTCTTCTTAAAACATACGTTAAGTATAATGCTCTGTTCTAATGCGACTGACTAACCTCCTCCCTGTGCGTCGGCCTACGGCCCCGCCGGACGCCGAATCGCCTAGTCAGCGGATTCCTGTCGACGAGCCGTCGACCAACACACTCTTCTTATACTGTGAACATAATATAATATAATACTATTCAGGGGTTCACAACACCCCCCACACTAAATGAGACACGGGGGTCCTATGATCACCGTGTTTCATCTAATTTAAAAGAGTCTGTAAATTGGGATGTTGGAGATTAGTTCAGCATAGTTTTATATATTTTTTTTTTTTTTTTTTACAATGATAAATAAAATGAAAGAGAGAGAAAAAAAAAAAAATAATAAAATATATATTATACTCTAGTGTTTTCCTGAATACCATTCGAATGTTCTTCTGGTATTTCAGGGATGTACATTCTTATTGAATGTTTCCTTAGTTTACTAATACATATTATTATTGTTATTCCAAAAACAAAAAAAATTACATAGATAAATATAACATAAAATTCTATTTTTTGGATGAACATTGAATTTGGTAGTACATGTATAAGCTTACTTAATTCTACTGCTTTGCTGGCAAGAATATTTAAATTTTTAATGCACTTCGTGCTCGTAAGGTTCTGAGGAACTACTCCTTTAAGATTTTCTGTGATTTCTGATTGAGTTATGTCCCTAACATTGTTTGATATAATATCCAATTTAACATTTCTATTGGATTTACTCTCTGCTATAAACATGGAGTTATCGATGTTCATTTTGCAAGAATTAGGAATTGTTATTCTACCTAGATTGTTGATTTCTATTTGGAATTTTTCAAGTGAGTCCGAACATGTGATAGTACCTGGTGTACTATGTTGAGTATAGTATAACCATGCATTGGTTTTCGTTAACTTGTGCCAAATGTTCGTATTCAGACTCATGAATTTTAAATTGCAAGTCTTTGGGAAATGTTGGGGGTCCATGAGTAATGATACTTCACATAAATCCGATCCTAAACGGTGATGGATTAGTGATTCCTGTTTGCACAGTTTGCCTAACCCTAAACTTTTGCATTTTTCCCATTGCTCTGTATTTAGTGTGTAAAATTTTTTGTTATCACTGCTGAGTGCTAGATATTCCACTTCCGTATCTATTAATACTATTGTCCCCTCTATGTGTGGAATAGGTAATGGTATTGGGTGGTAAACGGTATATTTGTCATTAGATAGTAGAGGAATTTCTATTACAAAAATTAAATAGTTCTTTTGGGTAAAAATTGTCATTTCCGAGATTCTGAGAAATTCTGTCAAAGATTCTGTGTTTATTTCCATTGGTAGAGTACTTCCTGTTGGTAAATTCATCTTTATTTCTCGCAACTCACTCATAAGTGTCTGCGATGTGAGTGCGCTCGTATATACCTTCCCATCGAGAGCTGCGTTTACTATTGCCATGAGATTTTGCGTGTCATAGGCGAATCTATTTAATATTATCTCAAACAAAAATGCTTGTTCCAACAATTTTGTTTTGAATGATATTATGTCAATGTTCTGTGTGTTGTTCTCGAATTGCTGTTGTAGGTGTTTCAGATTTCTCTCAATTTGCTGCTGATGCATTTTTAAACTTTTCAGTGTTTGATTAGTTTCTGTTTTCTCCACTTCCGAGATTCTCGTTCTGTCGTGTATAAGGTTTAGATTCTTTAATTTGTTTTTACCTAACTCTATTATATTGTCTACAATAAAGTCAGTGTTGATTCTTGAACACATTCCGTAAATTACGTTTGTTATTCGGTTAACAGCACTTCCCAATCCACGTCTACTTTTCTTTGCTGTCTGTTGATCATAGTCAATGGCTATCATCAGACTTCGATAGTTCGATTCTATCTCATATAGATATGGTAGTGTTGCTCGTGTAAACTGTTGCAAAAAAGGTTTACATATCCTCGAGAATTCTTCGTTTTCTGATTGATTTGTACAGTACTGTGCTGTTTTTTGATAGTGGGACTTTAATATATTGTATTCTGCTAATTGTTTGTTTAGGTTTACGTAAACTACTAAATCCCAAGTAATATGTGATAGACCAAGTTGGCCATGGGACTCGTAGTAAAGTCCTTGATGTTCTGTGATTGGAGTTATCGCGTACTCTGGGGTTGATTGTCTGTCTTGATGATCTGATTCAATTTTCCTCTGTAGTTGGGCATGTCCAACTGTGGTAATTGCAATGATCCTGAAAATGGTTTAACAAGAACATTTAATTTCCTTCGTAGAATTGTTTTAATAAATTTCTGTGCAGAATGACTGGTCTGTTTTTCTTCAATATCGTTATATTTGGAGATTCTGGGTTGGTTTCTATTACCGTATAGGGTCCTATCCATTTCGGAGCTAGCTTACCTTTACTAGCTTTTTCTTGGATGAGTACCTTGTCACCTATACTTATTGTTAGAGGTGAGATTTTCTGATCGTAACGATTTTTCGATTTCTGTTTGGAATCATAGA